CCACTGCTTTTGAAGTATCACTCACTGCTGTTGCAACCGCATGTTTCTTTAAACAAGAATAACAGCCGCGGAGCCAACGAAGAAATGACGATCCTCCAGAAGCTTCCAGTCAGCGGTACGGACTTCCATTTGGAAACAATTGAATTGAGTCTCGGATCATGTGGCACGGAAGAGTTCATAGCTGCTAGTAATGACACAGGATGGGTCCTCGCTGTGTTTCCACGAAGGCCACATCTCGGCCGCCATCCTGGGCTTGCAGAATCTTCTGCTTTTTCCCGTTTTGTCCTACATGCTATACAGCATGACTGTCAATCATTGAAAACGCTATCTGCGGAGCGCTGATTTAAGATCCAGGGCTCAAAGTTTCATCAGGGTCGCTGCTGCTCCTCCTCCTCCTAGTACTACTACTTCTACTTCTACTTCTACGACGACGATGACTCCTCCTCCTCCTCCTCCTCCTCCTCCCCCTGCTGCTGCTGCTGCTGCTGGAAGATGCTAAGAGGTGCAGAAGAAGGAATAACCCCAGTCTTGGATGTTGCTTGCGGGAATTCTCAAGGAAAGAAACTTGCCGCTCAAATCAGCTCGAAGCCCTGACATGCCATGAGCATACAAGATCGTTGCAAATGAAGACCAAGATCAGCGTGCCCATGAACATCTCCGTGTGAAGCTGAATCCTCAATCCTTGGCAAGTGACACGAACTCTTGCAGAATCACCGGCTATACATAGGGCTGGGGGGACTTGGGGTTGCTTGGCGCTTCACTTTGGAGGAAAAGAGGTTTAGGTTCGTGCTTGGAGATCAATGAGCTGAATCTTCACCCGACAGTTGAGAACTAAAAATCTGAAACCTTGTTTCTGCAGAAAAAAATGAGGATCGTGGATCAAGGCAAGCAAAGCTGCAGAATTCCAAATACTGCAATGGCTCACGGAATCTTCGGGGCCTTGTCAAGCATCCTTCAAGTGACGGTTTCAGCTGGCCATTGGCAGAAGTTGGAACTTGCCAGATGGAACGAACATTCGTCCAATCTTTCCTGGCCGAAACCCTATTTTGCAACAGAGATGAATCTCAAGATACGCGCGACTCAATCACCAAAAGGCGAAATGGTGCTCGATGGCAAGGGCTTGAGGCTGACATCCACCGTTGAGCATTCCACAGCTTGATGCCCAAAACAACTGTCCTAGTGCAGGCAGCCACGTCTTGGGTTGATAGGCCAACGTTTTCTGCCACCCGCTCGCGACCGCGATAGGTTCCGGGATACTTGACTTGACTTAAGGCTCTGGTCCTTTCAAACATCCCCCAATTGAAAGTACCTCACACTTTTGATTCCTGTGAACTTACACCTGCATGTAACCGCTTGTGTACATTTGCTTCTGTGCGCAAGGATCTTTGGGGAATCCAAGACGCGATCGAAGCCTAAAGCAAATTCCCAAGGTTTCCCACCTTCACGGCCTTGCTAGCGCTTCAGACCTGATAAGCATAATGGTCGACTGATTCTGCTCAGCTATTTAGATGAGTTGCCTCTGCACCTGAACTGAAGTTGGGCACCCCACGCCCTTCTAAACACACGCCTCTTCGTCATCCATAAATCTAGACCATGACCACTGCGTCCTCAAATCCTGAAGCTTTGGTTCGTATTGCAAGCAAGAGACGCTCGGGGATGCTTCGCATTAATGAGACGTCTGCCTGGAGTGCCAGTAGGTGCCGCAAACGAAAGCGTGTGAGACTGCCTGTCTTGACAATGCATGTTCGTCCTGTTTTCCGTCTCACAGCGGCCATCAAGCTCTTTCTCCAGAAAAGGTGTTGCTTTACATGTTGGGGTTCGCCAACGATTAAGCTCAAGTTGCGGGATTGTTGTGCAATCTCAGCTGTTGTCTGTCTACAACTCCAGGATCAAGATGTTGCAGAGCTATACGCACCTCTTCACTGTGGATCCGGTCAGCTAAGCGTCAAAGTGGCGCGCACGGTTGGTTGAAATCTGAAATGCCCCAGACCATGTCCTGCCTTCCAGAGCCCTGATTATCCTAAGCATGTTCAAACTGTAGTCAACACCCCCTCCTTGAACCAAATATCAGCAAGCCCGAAGAGAAAATCCAGTCAAACCGCATGCAACCCGTTGACACAAGGCTGTGAACGAAGCAAGGGTCTTATCCTTTCTGGAGAGAAGTGCATGACATTGTGTCAGATGCTTGGGCAGCCTTATGGCTCGGAAACCAACTAGGGAAAGGGGAAGGCATAGTACTATTGCAAGAAACACGTTGAGCCCCAATCAATCCATCTGGACCTGTCGAAAGCACTATACTACATCTGACACCTGTAACTATCAGAGGTTCTGGAGCTGGCTGTAAACATGAAGCTTCAACACGCTACAATGCTGTCTCCACCTTGCAACCTTTTCGACATGACACACAGATGCTCGACCCGACAACCTCTAGAAATCAAAATCCACTGAAACCAGGCCTCCAGGAGGCGTATCCTTACTAGCCCGTCCGCGCGAATCCTTCGATTAAAGCCAGGGCAGGATTTGTCTAAGCAGGGTAGAGTTTTGGCTTTCAGGTTTCGAGTCTGGGGTTGAGCTTGGGCTTAAACAAAGGCTTGAGGATCTGCAGCAGCTTCTTGGGGTTCAGAGTTTCAAGGGTGGGTCTCAGGGACCTTCACCCACTCTGCCTTTCCCTGTGGGCCAACACTCTGACAGCCCTTCTCAGGCTTCTAGTCATAATGGCTTCCCGCCGATCTCAAAAAATAGATCATGATCTTAGGTAGAGCCGGCCATGATCCCATGGAACCCAACTTGTTCACCTGTAGAGACGTTGTACATCATAACTCTTGAAGGGCGTCATGATAGGTCTTCACTAGACATCGAGAGCTGCTGCGATTCTCCACTTCAGGTGCTTCCATGTCAATGGTGTGTAATATTAGGGTTATATTGGTGTTATATTGGGATAATGGAAAACAAAATGGAAACTACTATAATGGGTTATATAGGATTTATATAGGGATCAACTTTACGGGGCATCTGAACTCTTGGTAAAAGGTGCTCTGGGAAACTTCCAAGTTGATTGCAACAGGAACCTTAGTGAAAATCTGCCCTGATGAATTCCGTCCAGCTACTGCTATGCCACCTATCTGCTAGCCTGTTTGAATCAGCGGATTCCTTGAAGTTGTTGCCAATAATCAAGCTTCCTGTCCCAATTTACAGAAACCACAGCCTGTGATTGAACTTTCCCGACAAGTAATTCTCAAACCCAGCGTTTCTAGATCTCATCAAATTCTTTCGGCCTGCACGTAAATTCTCAAGCCTAGGGTTTCAACCCTGGATCTAGTCCAATTCGCAAGCCTTAAAACAAAGGTAGACTCTAAATCGCCAATCTTCACAAACCCTTCGCCAACTCAAGTTTTGCATGGGTTCGCTCCCTTCACTTTGCTAAAGAGCTCCACGGACAGGTTACGCTCCATGAAGAACCTCTCAGGCTAAGAGGCGGCTTCGCTTTTGTGCCCGGGTCTTGCACCGACTTGCAGATGCTCAGAGGCTAGGAAACACGCAGCCCACCAAGGCCAATGAGTCAAAGCCTGATACCGCATAGCCGTAATATGCCGTAATCTAACCATTCAACACAGCGCGAGCTCAATCGCAAAAATCTTCAAAGTGAACGTTCATACAACCCCAATCCGAAATCCGTTCCATTTGCATCAGAACTAGGTGTGTAACAGTCCTGCCATCAGGGTATAGATACATCATGATGCATATCCAAGACATTCAATCAAGGATTTTCAATGACACTCTCGCTTGGGTCAAGGGATTAGGCTCATTTGAGGCACATCCCAAAGCTGCCTGTGGCAAACACCGCTTCTAAGAAAGTCTCTCCAGTGAGAAATTTCTCAGAACTTCCAGCTCTCGGTGTGCAATGATATCTGCAAAAACACGAAGACTGGAAACCAAGAGCCACAAAGTCAGAAGAGCGATGATGGGATAGCAACACCAACCGACCACAGCAGCGCAAAGATTGCAACTAGCATGTTCACGCCCATGAGCAACATCGACATAAACAGTGGGCGTTAAGGGGTAATGGTAAACAGCAGAGGTACTGTGGACAGTTTGGTGTTGCATGACCTGCTTTGTGCACTGCACCACATGGTTTAGTATTTAGGAGATCCTAGGTCACCTGTGTCCATCGTTACATGATTATGAAGATGACTTGCACAAAAGGCCTTTCAAGCTTGGCGCTCTGCATGAGCTCTTCATTGCGCGCCATGCGCATCCTGACGGTTGATTGCGTGTCCGTCCAGGCAATGGCTTAATGATTCTCTTGGGAGAGGGGATGGGCACCTGGAGACTTGATGTGTGGTACACATGAAGCCAGTGGTGCCGGTGCTGCTGCCAGTAAAACTGACAGGGTGGCTTCAGTGCGCATTGGTAGATGGTGATATGCTTTCCAGGCTTGTTCAAATCATGTTTGCTCAAGGCAAGGGAAGTGGAATAAGAAGCACTCACTTCAGTCAAATCCAGCTGGTCACCAAGTTGCGAGTTGACGCTGGAGCCGATCGAGCCCAGAAACGAAGAGAAACCTGAGATGAACAGTACGTGGCAGGGTGGACTTGCCCCTTTCCTACCCGTGACCCCCTATGCAGGCAAGCTCCGCAATTATGACGCCTTTGTCAGCTCATAGGCAGAATCGCGCAACCATTTGGCCGACAACACAGAGGTCTTGCGCCCAGCGCGGATCATCATCGTCACCATCATCATTATCATCATCATTTAAAGCAATCTCGTTCTAGAACAACCTGAATGACTGGATGAATGAAATCACACGCTACGAGGCAGCGCTATCATCCTTACAACTGGAAGGAGCTCGAGAACAGCGAGTTGATCTTCCTTCATAAAGTACAGACCCTGAGTACTCCATATGGCAACTGCCCATGAGCACACCTCAAAAACTTGCAAAGTCTGAAGGGCCCTCGGGCTGCCGTTGTCAGTCACAGGTCATATCAGTTCAGCCCAGCGGCACGCCATGGCTAAGAGAATCACCCAAATTGCGTAGAACCTCAGCAGTTTAGGGTCTAGGTCAGCTCTGCTTGTCAATACAGGGTTCACAGTCGCAAGGATTCTTGATGTTGTTGACTGGACACCTCGCGCATTGGTTTTGTAGTCTATTCTTGGAGGAGTGAACCGTCCTGAAGTTGAACCCCAATACTTGGGAAGTATGCCTTTATTTATGAGCAGTGAAGTCGCAATTGGGGGTTACTTGGCAAATGTCAAGTATGGTGCGCGGCTGAAGCATGCCCATCATCAGACTGTCTCTGCTTCTCCCGGCCCAGAGAAGGACTCATTTCAAGCTGTCTCCTGGCCCTATGAAGTACATCTGGAGCCATTCCTGTACACTTCTCTGCTCTGGGATGTCATCTGGTTGGGTATCCCATCCCTGTCAACACTTTCGCCACGTGCTGGTTGCAACCCTTCTCTACAGCCGCTGACCAAGTTCGCGCCATCACTATGAAGTCCGTAGCAGCTAGTGCGACGCTGAAGGGAGAGAATGTTGATGCAAGGCGCCATCAACTGAAAAGCTCAAGGCCTTGACTCCCGTCAACCTCATCAACAAAATAGGGCGAGCTAGTGCTTCCCCATTCCGCGCCTCTCCCAGCCGTTGTCAGGTGCAATGGGGTTCGTTGAAGGAGTGAATTGCGTAAGGCTCCTCCAGCTCAGGGATGCAAAATGTAGGGACGTACGGACAAGAGTTCGGGATGTTGCTTGCAAGCTGGTCTTATTCTGACCCAAGGGTAAGGGCCTCAAAGAAACGCAAACCAGCAGGTGTTTCGTGGCATAGCCCCAGAGCACAGGGCGGGGCTAACTTTCGGGGATCCGACAAGAAGTATGAATACTACTACAAGGGTTTGACTCCTGGGGCCAATGAAATCAGAACAAGACGTGAAACCAGCTATCTGAAAGTTTCACGGAGCCGCATGACAACTAAAGGTATCACTGAGATGAGTTTTCCCATTCAGGTTTCTGTCACCTCGTCAGGACATAAGCGTCCTCAAGCTATTGCCAATCAGGCTGGGGTCTGCTCGCACAAGCTAGTCTTAGCATGCTTTTGGAGGGTTGACAGCTTGTGAGTTGCGCTTTGATAAGCAGCTCTCCGCCCAGAACCACTGAACAAGTCGAGCGTCCAATGCATTGCAGCGACATAGGACTCAGCGAAGCTGGTCTCGTCGATGTTCGCCCCTGGCAGCAGCAAGGAAATTGATTTCGAGTTCCCTCAAGCTTGCTCACAAGACAAAAGTGCTTGCAAAGCTAAACCTCAAGCACTAGAAGCCATGAAGCTTTCAACTGTCTCGAAGTCGAAAATGGCGATCACGGAAGTCTCAAATAGTTAGTGTTGCTTTCAAATACACGTGACAAAGGGGTTAAGTCCAAGAAGCTCTGTAGCCAATTGCCCAGGTGGCTAGTCCAGGATCCAACACCAAACCAACAGCCTGGGCAATGTTGCCAGGGTACAGTCTGGATCTGTAGTGTCATGGGTTACGGGATTGGGCTTGGAGGTTTGAATACAAATAAGAATGTCATGAGCGCAGTACCGAAGATGCCCCGCCTGTTTCCACAACGCCAAACATAGACAAACGCCAGCACGGACCACTCAGCGGGCAATGCACAATTCTTGCCTGCCTGCCATTTCGCACTCTGTACAAACTCTCCGTGGTCCCGCTCCATCCGCATGAGCCCGATATGCACGTCCTAGTCCCTCCTGCACTTCAAGGCTTGGCAGATGAATCCAATCGTCAAGTGGGTTTCCTTGAAGAGCCAGGCAGCAGGCAATGAGGTGATTTACAGCCAGCATGAGCATCAAGTACCTGCACAGGCATCTCTTCACTCGGATCTGCCATCAAAAACCAGCACTTGGTTACTGTCTAGCTGGACTGACTGATTTTGTCAGATGCGAAGACTTCATTAAAGGCTGCCGGTGCACACCTAGAAGGCAACTAGAACTGTTTGCTGGACGGCTAGCGTCCTCGAAAAAGACCCTACACATGCCATATGCCTGTATTCAGGGTATGAAACCTCCGTTTCACCAACAAGTCCTGGCTCAAGACTCAAGTTGTCTATACAGGAGAACCTTAATTCATGATAGTCCGGATAAGGCAGGTTCAAGAAGCCTCTCCGGCCATAACACGCTGCAACTGAATAGCAAGCAGCTTACGTGAAGCACTCTTGAGGCATGCTGGCTACAAGGGAGACTTGAGACCAGCATTTGAAACAGCCAAACGAATGAAATGTCTCACCCCCACCTTCATGCTGCAGCAGCCCACTCGAAAGGAATTACTTCCAAATCAACGCCGAGGGACCATACAATTTTCAACGCCATGACAGTGTAGGCAGATAAGAGATGGTTTGCCACCAGCATGAACCTGCAAAATGTTTGTCATCATCAATTTCCAGTAGCCGTTGCAGTAGGAGGAAAAATGCGGCACCATACCGATCATCCCGCCGTGTTCTTGACATTGACCGTTGCGCCGCTATAGCATGCAAAAAGGCAAGGAAAACAGCTATGGTCATTTCTACCACCATGATACTGGTATCAATCATTCCTACCGCTATGATGTCATTGTTTGGTTTTTGCTCCGCCGCGGATGTACTTCTGGTACTAGTACCACGGCGGCTGCCACACGCACATCTGCCGCACACACATCGCCTCCTCCATGACGGTTGAGACCGCTTCTGCGCTGCCAGATTGTAGTGCTATGTACTGGTAGCTGTGGAGAGCTGCATTCGTATCGAATGTCAGTTATGTTTTCCATTCTATGTGTTACCGAGGCTTGCTTTCTACGGTTAATTCATTGCGTTTCAAAGTTCGGTAGCATGACAGTGCTTGAAATACAGTAGCGGCAGCTTAGCAAAATGCCGCTGGTCTCACACCGACTAGCACAATCACAATTCTTTTGACTTCTCCAACGCGAAGGAACTTTCAGTGGAACAAATAGTAGGAGATGTTAACAGGAGTAGTAGCGGCAGGGGACGAGAAGAACATCACCTCCTGTTTCTGCCACTGCCACCATGACCGCTTATGCGGCTACAACTGCTACCACCACTGCTACTGCTATCACCACTGATACTAGGTAGTCACAAATTAATATCATGATTACTACCAGCACTGAAGCTTGAAACCAAGACAACCCTCAATCACAGTCCAACAAGTCCAGGTGGCTCGCGCTCAAGCTTGGCGACGCGGAGAAGCCGAATCAGTCGAACCATCCGCAGAATTCGCACCAGCCGGCCTTGCCATAGAAGCTTGCAGCAAACGTCGTTCTCAAGGCTGTTGCTAGCATCAGAATTTGCTGTGTAGTCTTGTTGTTACAGCTGATGTTCCCTGCATCTGCGGTGTTACAACGTAGTAACACCTCGAAAAACCCTCGTCGGCATACCAGCATCTTGACGTTCTTGATTGTGTCAGGATTCTTTTCATGCTCGCTTGCTGCTACCAACGCTGTGATGTTCAGTTATGTTGCTTTGTTGGCCGCATTGTTGCGGCTGTCGGTTTCAGCTGCGTAAGTCATTACAGCTTTGTTCTCAAACGCTTTTTCTTGTGCTGTAAAGTTTCCCTCACTACTGTGGCCGCAAAACCCGCATCCAAGAGCCCAAGATTCCTTGCAGACCCTGAACCCAAAAGAGAGTACTCCTAGCTTCGAATCCCAAAAAGCAATCTTGGCCTGATCGGAAGAGTGGATTGGAGCTTGCAGCCTGGATTCTGCACGCACATTTTTTGGTGCTGCAGGGCTCTAGTTCATGTGGAGAGTCTAGAACCTAAAGTCTTTGCTGACGATTTAGGGCTTGAGATCCGAGGGTCGCGGCGTAGGGCAAGGCTTGTCAATGGGGATGATTGAGGGTCAAGAAAATGTTCAAGCGCGCTCAATGTATAAAGGTCACACGGTTTGTTTCTCTTTGTCTCCCTGTGTCATCTACCAGGCGAGTGAGAACCCACTACCTGGCCTGGGTGGCCGTCGTATAAAAGAAGACGCCTGACTCCAAACCGTCTGTCTGCCGTCTGTGGACGCTGACAAGGACACCTGCTGGACTTTCCAGGGGCGTCCTTCTCTAGCTGGTGGAAACATATGCAACTAATCTTCCTCTTGGCCCCCGCAGTGAGGAAGCCGAGGATTTCAAGTTTCATGCTCATGAACCTTCAACCTGCAAATCGCACATGATTTCGGTGCCAGAAGTCACGAATCTGAATACCTACGCTCATAAGCTTCCCAAGACACATCTACAACCCTTCATGACACCCATGGCACTTGTCAAAGTCAACGTCATGATTAGAGACCCCACCACCGCCCGCCCATGCGAAGGGCACTTAAGGTCCCCAATGTTGGAAAACACTACAGACGCTCGAGCTTGCTGGAGGGGCCTGGACGATCTCCAGGGAAAAAATCATCGAGTCCACCAGAATGAGCAGGAGATCCTTTTGCCAAAGGAATCAAGATTGGAATAACCAAAAGACAGCCCCTCACCGGCTATAACCCAAAGGCATACCACTAACGGTTTCGTCCAAAGTATGAATCTCCGAATCTAGCACATTGCCATCTCCAGCGCCCCAGGAGACAAGTATTCTGATACTTCAGGGGCTGTTCCAAGGGCTTTAGTGCTACTAGCCCTTCACACAATTTGTTGGCAACCTGGATGCATCTTTTCTTGATCTCCCTGCAGCAGTCAGAGGAGCGGTCAGGTGCGTATGAAATCTAACCAGCCTAAGACAAGGAATGAAATCTGGCTAAAAACCTGGTAAAGGACCAGGAAAAAGTGTTCCTTCTAACAGGGTAACAAGTCATAAGTTGAGCATTCGAGCAGACATCTTATTAAGTGGCTTGAGACAAGCAAAGATTGCATTGATCAAGGCAAGACCACATTTAGTAAAGGGCGTGTCACATTGCAGAACCTACATCCAAGCCATAACCTGTCTGGGAAGGACCCTGCTCGAACTTTGATACTGGACTGAAAAGGAGGTCACAAAGTCTCTTGAGCAGGTCACGCAAGTGTAAGAAATCCGAAGCCCAGTCTCCATGATCATCCAAGAGCGGAAATAGTGCCGCAGAAGAACACAAGGCCTCTTCACATGCTGCAACCCATGACATTGCAGTGCCCTTTCTGTAGCAGGGCTTCAGGCATCATGGTTTCCGCAATCCTGGCTTGCAGCTTTTCGGGAATTGCGCGCTCCTAAACAAAATTGTCTCCAGACAATCGCATCATCCTGCTGCCAGTAATAATTCAAAACGCAAGTCAGGCAGGAAACAGTCACCGAACAGCGGGCACTTCGTTTCTTCTGCAAATCTATCTACTTCTCAATCTCATGGAGAGCCTGACTCCTCATACGAAATCGTCATGTGCTATGGCATGACCCGCATGACTGTACCCAAACACCACTCCCATAAAGTCTGAAGCTTTTACACCCTTGAGCCTCCTGGTTGGCCTTCGACACTCTACACCTAGCTACAATCCCATCAAGTTAACATCCTCAACATGTGTGACCTCATCTCGATCGCTCCCCCAATCTGCAGACCAAAAACCAGATGTAGAGGCACCTTGGCTCTGGAACGTTGAGCCCTTAGATAATTAGAGGGGGTGGCAAGTTCTAATGAGTGCAGCAGAGTTCCCGCTCGCCTTGGAGCTTGCCCTGGGGAAAACCACTCACTCAGAAAGAACCCTTAGATGAATTTGTAGGTTTTCGTATTTTCGGATTTGTCAGGCAGAGGCCAAGTACAGAATGGGATTCAGCAAAGACCTTTTAACGAACCCCTGAATTGTAGACTAGATCGTCCCCAATAAACAACACCGCAACTTAGGCGTTACAAAACTCAAGCCCTGACACACGAACGCTGACTCCTGAACCTTGCGAGCCTTGAAAAACTTCGGACAGTTCCTGCCCGGGCTCAGCCACAGCAAACTGATGGGGACTGGAAAGTTTGGTGGAAGTCGGGCGTTTCAGACCAAGCTTACTTGATATGTCACGTACAGTTTGATGCCCTTCACCTTCAGCGCTGACTATGGCATCAGGGGGCATACTTGACCCTTCTCAGACAAGTTGCATCGCACACCCAATAGGCGAAAGAGAAGAAGGCTATGCCATCCACGACTCGGATCGCCGACTGCGCGCAGGCTCTTCAGCTTGTCATTTAATTTCGTCATACATCGTCAGACCCACTTGTGAGAAACGTCAGCGCAGTTTGAAAACTGAA